TTTCATATTTGTGAAAACCACTTGACTTTCATGATAGATAACTAGCTTATTCTTTAGCTGCATGTCTCAATATACATTTTTATCATTTCTATATTGAATTATTGATCTAGGAGATGATTTATAGTAAATCTAATCCATGTGTTTGCAATATCAAACCTAGAACAAAATGGCTGAGCAAGTATGTTTTAGGTTCTAGGATTTTCAGTAGTATATTCTCATCAGATTTTATGTATTTACTACCTTATGATGTTTAAAAATAAAGTTTGATATTAGATCTATAATTTTTCTTTCTATTGTAATGCAGTACCTTAGCTTGCTTTGGCATTATAAGGCAAAATCTAAGGCATACTCAATACTGCACAATGAATGTTAATGACCCTTGGGATTAGTGCACAACGTAAGCAAGATTCCCCATGGGGCATAAAGGGTTAATAGCAAGACTTAATAATGTGCCCTCTGGTACCCAGCACATGGGTGGAAAAGTGAAGTTTTCAAACCAAGTGTATTCTTTACCTAAATTCCTTGCTCTGCTTTATCTACTGACATAATTGAGAGTTGAAGGATAAGCTTTCAAATGTCTGGTCCTTTATTCTCCTTGGTCGATTATACATCGCTATTACCATTACTCTAACATGTAATCTTAATTTTGATTGATTAGAGCCCAACATAAGGCTGCTAATGCACCAAGAAGGTCCTTCCGTGTTTCCAAAAAGAGGACACCATCTACAAGTTCCACATCCAACACTAGTGAAGTTAACAGAAGTATATCAGGACCAATGACAAAGGCTTCCAGGAAACCAATGCCAAAAACCAAAGCTCCAATGCTCACTATCCCATCTACTCCAACATTACTGAAGTAAGTGTGATTGTCATATTTACTAACTGTTAACTAGAAGTTGTGTTAGCAACTCTAATCTACAAACCATTAAACCTTTTAAAACACATAATGCAGTAGTAGCTGATAAACCATTTCTTTTTCTAGACGGCCAAAGGCTAAACCAAGTGTAGCACAAAAACCAAGAGAAGAAATGGAGATTGAAGCTATAGAAAAAATGAGACAAGAACTGAAGGAAAAAAGAAAACATAATGAGGAATTCATGAAGAAGGCATTAGCAGCTGGGGCCTACACACCATACAGGTCTGCCGAGGATAACTTAACACAGGCTGTTGAATTTCACTTTGAAACTGACAAGAGAATCAAAGCTCCTCAACCACAAATGTCCAGTGACAGCAAGGAAAAGAACTTCTTTGAAACCTTACGTCAACATCCAGCTTCCCCTGTAAGTAATATATAGTTCAGAAATTTGTTTTGTTAACAGAGTTGATATAAAGATGTGGTATAGTGATAGTGCACTGGCCTATTACTTTGGGAGTCTCATGCATTTTAATTCCAACCTATAGTCTGTATTTTAATACATGTGAGATACAGACTGTTTGTTGGTTCTCGACTTCCATACAAAGACATTTTTCCATGATTCTTCCACTTTTGTCTCGCCAAAAATCTGTATCTCCATAACCCAATTCAATCAGCTTGCATTATACACTATCGTATTAATTAATTCTTATGCTTTTATTCTTTGAACTTAGTCCTTTAAACACAGGGCTCCAACAAAGCCACAGCCATTCCACTTCCATAGCAACCAAAGCAAGAAGCGTAAAATGACAGACGAAGAAGACAACTCATGCGAAGGCTACGTTTCAATGGCTCAGCATTGCTACAAATTTCAAAATGCAACACCCCCAAGATTCCGTACCAAAAACATCAAAGAAACTAACTCGGGCCCACCTGTGTCTGATGCTAATAAGAGTGCTTCCAAGCTGACTTGCCCAAAGACTCCAAACTTGTCCAGTAAAACAAGGAAGAGACCTCTGCCTGAGGATTGCCTGAGCCGAGAACAGCAAGAGGAAAAAGAGGCTGAAGAAATGAGAAAGTAAGAAACTTATTTTAACTTGTGCCAATGTTGCTTAATCTAGGAATAAGAATTCTTGTAGAATTCTTTTGTATTTTAAAGGACAAAACTATTTTTGTTGTGCTTTTTGATTTTGCAATATCATGTTTTGAATTTTGTTTATTTGTCTGATTTGGTAAAACAAAAAACCCAGAAATTTGGAACTAAAATTGCTAAGGCCTAGGGCAAACGTTGAACTTTCCATGCACTGAACTTAATTACATCAAAGAATGCCGCCTAATTATCACCTGATATCCAGTGTTTTTAATGAGTTCGGTGCATGGAAAGTTCGACGTTTGCCCTAGGCCTAAGAAATCAGAAAATGATTCAAATGTAACCAATGGTTATTGTGTTATTTTGAATAAAATTGAAATTTCTTTCCTATTTTTTCAGCTACAAGTTCAAGGCCAGAGAGTTTGATCCTAAAATAGTAGAGAAACAAGGAACCTATGGGCTGAAACCTCTGCAGCCCAAGAACCTAACAGAGGTCAAGCCATTTATGCTGGCATCAGAACAACGTTCAGAGATATATAAACAAAAAGAAAAGGAATCCCAAGTAGAGGTAGTTATATGGTTTTTTTTCATGCCTATGCACCCTTCAGCCTGTCTCTTAGATAAAACGATTATGTGAAGTGTAAGTTTTCAGACTGGTGGAGACAAAAATATAAACCAAAAGAGTCCTATGGCTTGTCATATTGGATCCTCTTAAAATTATCTTGAATTCAAGGCTAAACATAAAAACAAATGCCATAAATTCCATTGAGAAAAAGTTCCATTGCTTTTGCATTTCCATGTTATGGTACTTTCAATTTTATCAAACAATACATGTAAGCCAGGGATGGCTATTGCAAGAGTTGCAAGGCAAGTGTACTACTAAAACACAGTAAAATAAAACATGCAAAAAAGAGAGTCTATAACTCATGGCTTCATGATTTTCTTTTTTTTTCCCCCAAAAGGAGAAACCTGTCATATTCAAAGCTCAACCTGTACCAGAGTTTGACAAAATAGAGTTCAAACCAGAACTTCCACACCAAGCAACCAAGCAAAAACCTTTCTCGTTTGAAGAACGAAACAAACAATTGCAAGTCAAGAAAGAACAAAAGATTCAAAGTGTTTTAGAAGAGGAGAAAAAGGTATATGTTCCTTTTAAATGAATCAAGTTAAGAAATATTAAATTTGTGAAATGTTAAATTTGCAAATTTAAGATGCAGTAATATGAACGACTAAATCACCTACTGTAACTTGCAGTGCAAGACCATTGCGTTGCAAGTTGCATGGCAAACGTTGCTCATATTACCACACCATGCATAAAATTGCATTGTTTGGTAAAAACGTTATACCCTGTGCAAAAATGAAATTAATTTTTGCCTGAGGAGTAGTAAAATGAGCAACATTTCCTCTGAAACTTGCAGCACAACAATTAATACACCTATATCATATCAAAATTTTGCTAAAATTATGTCTGAAAAAATAAAAAAATGCATTAAAAAAATCCACTCTCATGTTAGCATGTTGGGATAACCAAGGATGTCATAGCTAGAGACATTAAAGTAAATTTCAGCATGATAATATATATTTGTTCCTACAGGCAAGAGAGTTCCATGCTCAGCCACTGCAAAGCTTCTCTCCAATGAAGTTAATATCGACTTCAAAGTCCCTTACCAAATTTGAGCCATTCAACTTGGAGACTGAAAACAGAGGGGCCCAAAAAGCTGACCAATGGATTAAAAAGGTAATAATTAGCATAAGATGGTCTGCAACAGAAAATTTGGTCCATCAAATTTACAATAGTATGAGTTGGTAAAATTTAGTTTACAGTTGGATTCTCAAAACTTCAGCCGCTTTAATTCCGAAGTTAGTTCCCAAGTTCTCCAAGTTGGTCCTGAACTTGCGATTTTTTCGTGAAATTGGTTCAATCAACCGTGACTTGTTAATGTCTAGAATTCAAATATCTACTGGAATTGCTCCTTTAAACCACATAGTACTTTTTGAAAATTGTATTCCAGACAACGTACAGTGTCAAATTCCTTTTGTCACAATAAAATTTACTTTGAAAATTGAATTTAAATGGTAGATTTGATGAGTTTTAGAAGCTACTGTATTATCAGTTTGAAAGATCGCCGACAACTGTTGGAACTTCATAGTGAAATTGATTACAAAGTTGTGAACTTGCGAACGAACTTCAGACACGGGGTGGCTGAAGTTTTATGAAATCAACTGTAATGGAAGTCGCAATGCTAATGAAGCTTGTTGAGACATGTTCTAACTAAAATGTTTACTAAACCAAGACCCTTCATTCTCTTTATTTTTCTTTCTAAAATTGTAATCTTTTGCTTAAGGTTCAAGAAGATCTTCAGGAGGAAAGAAAGAAAGTTGTCTTCAAGGCACATTCTAGCAATGTTCTTTATCAAGCACCTTTTATACCCAAGAAATCTCTCAAACCAAACACCATGTTTGAAGAATTTGACCTCAACTCCGAGCGCCGAGCTCAAGAGAGAGAAGCCTATGAGATGAATAAGAAAGAGAGGGAAATGGAAAATCTAGAGCTTCAGCGTCAACGAGAACTAGAACGAGAAGAAGAGGAGAGAAGAAATATTGCGATATTGAGAAAGCAATTAGTTCATAAATCTAATCCTATTAGATCCTACAAACAGGTAGAAATTCTTCCCAGCAACAAACCTTTGACACACCYTGAATCGCCAGCATGGAACACTACAGAAAGAAAGAAAATGCGTGTGTAGGATGCTTAAAACGTCTTTTTATTTTTGCATGGAATTCATAAAGTGACAGTGACATTTTTTTTTACTACAAGACTGCTGCATCATAAAGTTCAGTTGAAAAAAGGGTATTTTTTCATATTTGACAAAATAAAAACCAAAAGCAACTGTAAGCTTGCTTCTTCCTAAATGTAAATATTTTGACTTATCATCTAAATTTTTTGACAATTTTCCTAACTTTGCTACATTAATACCTTAGTATCCCCTTAAAAAAGTATTGTGGTCAGCAAATCATTTGTTTTCTGGACTACAAAAATTAATGGGGTTCTAATGCAAACAGGCTAAATGAGGCTTATATGTTTTAGTTTCTTTTAATGAAGCTCAAAACTTCAAAACATATGAAGTTATCATTGTTGTAGAAATCTTTTGAGAATTGGAACCTATTGTTTTCCCCCAGATTGAGCTTCATTTCAAAGTGCTGCAAGGGGTCTATATAAGTTATGCCAATTACCCAGAAAAGTAAGCTCAAACATTGCTGACGTACTCAATGAGTTCAAATAAAAGTTGGTTTATCTGGTAACATTTGTACAAATAAGTTGTTTGGACTCATTTGGGGTAAACTCTTTACAATTTTGTGGACATGCATAAAAGACACCTACATCAGACCTCCAATACACTTTGTAAATATTTTGTTATTGTCATGTTCTTCTTAAGCTTTTCTGAAATTACCTTGATGTTTGTTATAGTATTTTAATTTAGGTATGCATGTGTTTTCTTTAATATCTTAAGTTAACAGATCAAAAACAGTTTTCCGTGTTTGATACTCTGATCAAAACACGCGGGATGTTGGGAGAACACGAGAGGAGCGTAGGAAACCACTCCGCTACGCGTCGTGGTTTCCAGCTTCTCGAGTGTTCTCCTAACATCCCAAGTGTTTTGATCAGAGTATCAAACACAGAAAACTGTTTTTGATTTGTTTTATAAAATAACAAATGCGCGAAAAGATCGAAAAAAAGCAAAGTCTAAGTAAATTCTCCCTATGTGCCGTCTTATTCAAACTGACCAATGAGCGCGCGCGATAGATTAAAAATGACGATAGCGTGTTTTGATATTCTCATCAAACATGGTTTTCGACCAATCATAGCGCGCGTAGTATCCCAATTGTTTTATAACGTGAAATCAAAACTTCATGCTTGTAAAAACGTTCACAATCAATTAAACATTTCAGTACACTTTTCTATTTGTGTTTGATATCCATGTGACTTATAAACTTTCTAAGTCATGTGGACTATAATGATAGTTCTCATTCTATTACTTACAGTGCTTTCCAATTTAAGTGATAAATAATACGGTTTTCCATGGAGACGAAGTTGCTTAGAGCAGTTTTCGTATGACTGAAATCTTCACGGCACGAACACAGTCGTGACACGGCAAGGTGTACGCAAGACCAATCACTTTGTGTGAGAATTTATTCTCCATCCAATCGAATACCCGGAAAATCAGCCAATTAAAATTCTAAAAACTCACCATTAAGGCACTGCACGCTTATGACACTGCACTTTCCACAGTCATACGAAAACTGCTCTATGGTTGATGTGAAAGTATTTCCATGGCATTGTTAGAAAAGACATGGAGTTATAGAATGTAATGGAAGCATTAAGATTGATGCCACCAAAACCTTCTTTGTTGTTAAGGCAAAGTGTATGATTTTGAGTAGTGTGATTGGAAAGTGCTGTAGCATGAAAAACCAGTTGGATACAAAATTTGCTTCAAATTCATGTTTTCTTCTAGCCATTATCATATTTGGAATTTGTCATTCAAATAAAATTGTTTTTTTGGATGGAAGCCAAACATAGAGAAGAGCATATCCTGTCTAGTGTTGGATGATTTCCAGAAATATGAAAAATAACTAGTCTGAGGAAATATCCACATCTTTGGCAAGTCTTGAAGGATCGTCCATTATTTTCTTGGTTTCCCTCTCCTTGTTGTAGTTCTTTCTGGGTTTTTCAGAGGGCGAACTCTATCTTGTGGCATTGCTAGTAGATCTCCCCATTTATTGAGGTGCCTCACGCACTTGTAAATATCACTTTAAAAGAAATAAAAGGTGTAAAATAATATTTTGTCTAATTCTTGTTTTATCAATATTGTGAATTTTCTCTCTTTCAGATTGGCCTAGAGCTGGGGGAAATAGAACATACTCTGATGAATTATGTCTGCAAATCACGCACATGCTTGAAACCCCCTTTCTCTTTCAAATTTTACCCTTGTTTTTTGCAGTAAAATTTTTATTTTTTTGTGGTAAAAAGCTACACCTCCTGAGTCCACAACATTTTGATGGCTAGATGAAGAAAATTGTGGTAAACAAGAGGACATACCACGGAAAACTGGAGGAAATTGGTTTAACATAATATATAATTGTGCACTAGCTTGTGAACACAATTATTAGGGGAGGAAATATAAATAAAGAACCAAAGTTTTCAAGGTCATACATACACTTGGAATGGCTAGTGAAGTGCTTATATATTCATGTCTGACCTTTATCATGTAGCAGCCTTGTTGACTGGAACAACAGTTTCCCCTGCTTGGCTTCTTATTCAAGCACTTCAGCATTAAGGCTATTTTTGTTACTAAGGCTATGCATGATTAAACAAAGGTTTTTATTTTTTGCGCCATGTGTTAAAGGTCCATTTGTCAACCACAACCTATTATCTACTGTCTGGAGTAACATTGGCAAATTTGATAGTTCTGGGCCCAGTTGTTCAAAGCCCGATTAGTGCTAATCCTGGGTTAACTCTTAATAAGACCTATAGAGTTAATCCTGGATTAGCGCTAATCCAGCTTTGAACAACCCGGCCCTGGGAAAGGCACGTTTGCTAAGCTACTATTTACCTGTCTTTTTTCTTGGTCAACGTCTTTTGCTGCAATTCACCTAAAAAAAATCAAATGATTTTTAAGGCTGATTTATGCACAGGTTTTCCTCACATGAATAAATTGCTTTGTGTAATACAGCTTGCTTACAAATGTTCACAATTAATGTTGACTCTAAAAGTAGTGTAAGCATGTTGAAAAGGCAGTTGTGAGGAATTGTGAAATAGTGTAAATCAGTCTTTATCAGTTTACTATCATTTGTTATGTGGACATGTTCTAGGAAATTTTTAATGGAAAAATCAGAATTATCTTATTAAAAAAATGCAATTTCAGTTAATAAACCCATTCAGTAGTTTGCCGATGGAAATAAATTACCTGGATGGTGGGGAAGGGGATTATGTCTCTGAAGATAAATCTTACCATTACTTGAACAGATCTTGCAAATAAGATGCCTTCTTTTTAATTTGATAGGCTCCAGTATTCTTGGCCATGATTTATCTAGGATGGAAAAAAAAATATTTATAATCATTTACAATACTTTTATTTCCAAGAGAATAGCACTTGTGAAATATGTGATTACTAAATATTAATATATTAAATTAATAACATATATATATATATATATTAATAATAACCTGATTCCTCCCTTCTTCCTTTCTTCAGCACCAGGTAAGAGAAGCATTCTGTTACAAACCCCCACTTCTTCAGGCTGGTTCTTTTCTGTTTGATAAAGAGATCACTTATTTAGTCAAAAATAAAACCAATATTAAAATTATTTGCTTTTTACTGCGGTTTTTAAAAATATTCTGCAAACATGTTACTTGCAAGCTGCTTGTTGAAATTTGATTTCCTGCTGCTATCAATCAAAAATGACGAGTCAGTACCTTTTACATTCTTGATTTACAGCAGTGAAAAAACAATTTCACAACAAGCTGTTGAACAAGGAGTTTGCAAAATATTGGAAACTGTACTAAAATCCTGCCCATTTCCTACGACAGCTTTTTTTCATACATCTAAAATGCACAAAACATTGAAATACAACCAGTAGTGTATATTCTAGTTTAATAATAAGATCATTTATACTGTGTGTCTCCTAAATAATTGAAGATTATTAGGTATTATTTTACCTCAGCAAGTGAGAGCTGTACTTGTTGTTCAAAGTTGCATGGATGGTCTCTTGTCTCTATGTCAGCCCTTGGGCAGTGTTGGTCATGTGGACACTAGACAAAAATTTGATTTACCCATAATGAATATAATCTCTGGTAAAATATCCTTCACTGTAGCAAATAACAAATGACTGTGAAAGATGAATCAAATACTTTTGATGAAAACGATATACACTTACTGGAGCAAAGACAAACCCTTCATCGATAATGTCATCTTCAAATGGTGTTTCTTGTCCTATAATTGGGACAAAGGTACATGTTTAATCTAGATAAGAATGATGTCTTAATAATTTGTATGCTGTAAGCTTTAAAAGTACAAAGAAAGAAAGGAAGGAAGGAAGAAGGAAAGAAAGGATGAAAGAGGGAAAGAAAAGTAAGGAAGGAACGAAGCAAAAATGAATGTGTTTAATAGTCAACCAATTTAGAAGCCAGTTAATATAATGTTTGTTTTAAAATTTGTATTTGTAAATAATTTTGAATATGAATGATTTACCTTGCTTTGATGATTCTGTTTCTGTTCCATCATTTCTGTTCTCATTAACAATATTCTGATCCTTTTTAAAAATCAAGATCAAAGTCAAAATCTCAAAAGCTTCATTGACAATTTACCATGAACCGTATGTAATACAAAAAAATTAACGAACAATAACAATAACAACATTACATAATATTATGAGGAACAAAATGAAATTGCACTTTATAATGAAAAAAAAAAAAATTTATCAATTGACAACAGGCTTGTATCATACAATATACCTTTTCTATCATTTGTCTTGCTTGTAATAATAGTTCAAAGCCTTCATTATTACCATACTCTATAAGTACCTAGTCCAAGAACAATAATAGGATAATATATAGAGATTATCACATGTTAAGAACTTGATATCGTTTTTATTCATGAGTTTTTCCGTATCATATCGCGAACGAGCGAGTCCTCGAGCGAGTGAGCGATATGATACGGAAAAACGAGTGAATAAAAACGATATCAAGTTCTTAACATGTAATAATTTGTTTATTACACATTTAGGCTCGATATATAACACACACAAAATGTTTTATTGTCTTAAACATCCTTAACCGACTTACACCATTTCAAAATGTTAAAGAATTATACGTTTCCAATTCAATATCATTCAAGATATTAAAGCTTAATTAAAAATGTAAGAAGCACAAAATTCAT